CCTGCGGCGCCAGCACACCAGGTTCTAGTCCCGGTTGGGGCGCCGGATTCTGTCCCGGTTGCCCCTCTTCCAGTCCAGCTCTCTGCTGTGGCCCGGGAGTGCAGTGGAGGATGGCCCAAGTGCTTGGGCCCTGCACCCCATGGGAGACCAGGAGAAGCACCTGGCTCCTGCCTTTGGATCAGCACGGTGCGCCGGCCACAGCGGCCACTGGAGGGTGAACCAACGGTAAAGGAAGACCTTTCTCCCTGTCTCTCTCTCTCACTGTCCACTCTGCCTGTCAAAAAAAAAAAAAAAAAGAAGAAGAAGAAGAAGAAGAAAGAAAAGGGGGGAGAGTGAAAGGGGGCAGGTGTGGTGGCACAGTAAAGATGCCACTTAGAAAGCCTAAATTCTGTATCAGTGCTTAGGATTTGGGTTCCTGTTAAACTTCCAATCCAACTTCCTGCTAGCACACATCTTGTGAGGCCAAAGGTGATGGTTCTAGTACCTGCATGCCTGCCACACACATAGGAAACTTGGATTGAGCTACAGGCTCTAGGCATCAGCCTAGCTCAGCCCTGGCTGCTGTAGGCATTTGGGGACTGAGCAGAAATACATACAATCTGCGTATGTGTGTGTATATGTGCTCTGCCTTTTCTGTCTCTGTCACTTTGCCTTTCAAATAAATAAATTAAATCTTAATATTTTAAAAAAAAGTAATTGCTTGCTCTCTTTTCCCCATAATAATGCAGGTGGAATAACACCCAAAGAAATTGGTCTGGGGGGCTGACGCTGTGGCACAGCGAGTTAAACTGTTCCCTGTGATGCTGGCATCCCGTATGGGTACCAGTTGGAGTCCTGGCTGCTCTACTTTCCATCCAGCTCCCTGCTAATGGACCTGGGGAAGCAGCAGAAGATGGTCCAAGTGCCTGGGCCCCTGCACCCACGTGGGAGAGCTGAATGAAGCTCCCAGCTCCTGGCTTCCACCTGGCCCAGGCTCAGCTGTTGCATCCATCTGGGGGGTAAACCGTGGATGGAAGATCTCTAATTCTGCCTTTCAAATAAAATAAGTAAATCTTAGAGAGAGAGGCAAAGAAAAAAGCAGTTTGAGGTGTGTGTTGTGGTACAGCAGGTTAAGCTGTCCCCTGGGACACTTACATCCCACACTGAACGGCCTGGGATGCCATCTTGCCTCTGCTTTCCCTCCAGTTTTCTGCCAATGCACCTGGGAGGCAGCAGATGATAGCCCAAGTATTTGGATTCCTACCACTCACATGAGACCTGGCTGTGGCAGGCATTTGGGGAGTGAACCAGAAAGAACGCTCTCTCTTTCCCTCTCTGTCACTGTCTTTCAAATAAACAACTAAAAAAAAAAAACTTTTTAAAAACAAAAAGAGGGGTTGGTACTGTGGCGCAGTGGGTAAAAGCAACAGCCTGCATTGCCGGCATCCCATACAGGTGCCGGCCCTAGTCCCAGCTGCCCCTCTTCCAACCCAGCTTTCTGCTATGGCCTGGGACAGCAGTAGAAGACGCCCCAAGTGCTTGGGCCCCTGCTCCCATATGGGACACTGGGAAGAAGACCTGGCACTTGGCTTCGGATCGGTGCATCTGCGGCCGTGGCAGCCATCTGGGGAGTGAACCAACGGCAGGAAGACCTTTCTCTCTGTCTCTCCCTCTCACTGTCTATAACTCTACCTCTCAAATAAATAAATAAAATCTCTGATTAAAAAAATGGGCTTAATGGCTTACATGCGCAAGTATTAAAACCCCCCTTAAAGTAAAAGATTTTTACATATTCATTCAAAGAACTGAATTGATTTGGTTTACACCAAAGGCTTTCACAATATAGTATCATGAGAGACTCTTCAAAATGAGAAGCAAAGAAAGCAGAAAGAACAGGGAAGAAGGGGTTGGCAAACAGCCTGAGTCAGTCTTTTCTAATTTTATTTTGGTTTTTCCTCTTCCTATTGGTTTTGGTAAGATGTTTTTCCTACTTCATGTTAAAAGAATTACAAGGCAGAAAAGCACAGTCTTTTCAATTGTGCTAGGATAACTTCACCAACAGCAAAACAATGAAGCTGAGGTGCTGGCACTGTGGTGTAGCAGGTAAAGCCACTGCCTGCGGCACTGGCATTCTATATGGGCACCAATTTGAGTCCCAGCTGCTCCACTTCAATCCAGCTCCCTGCTAACATACCTCAGAAAGCAGCAGAGATGGCCCAAGTACTTGGGCGACCCAGAAGAATCTCCTGGCTTCCTGGCTTTGGATCGGTCCAGCTCCGGCTGTTGCAGCCATTTGGGGAATGAACCAGCAGATGGAAGACATCTCTATCGCTCCCTCTCTCTTTCTGTCTCTCCCTCTCTTTCTCTGTAACTCTGACTCTCAAATAAATAAAAAAAAAAAAAAAAAACTCAAAATGGATCAAAATCTTAAATGTTAGAACTAAAACCAGGCCGGCGCCGCAGCTCACTAGGCTAATCCTCTGCCTGCGGCACCAGTACCCCAGGTTCTAGTCCCAATCTTGGGGCGCCAAGATTCTGTCCCAGTTACTCCTCTTCCAGTCCAGCTCTCTGCTGTGGCCCAGGAAGGCAGTGGAGGATGGCCCAAGTGCTTGGACCCTGCACCCCATGGGAGACCAGGAGAAGCACCTGGCTCCTGGCTTCGGATCAGCGTGGTGCGCCGGCTGTGGCGGCCATTTGGGGGGGTGAACCAACAGAAGGAAGACCTCTCTCTCTGTCTCTCTCTCACTACTCTGCCTGCCGAGTGATAATAAGAGTACAAATGCTGCTAAAACCATAAAATCCTTAGAACATATAGGCATTAATTTTTATGACTTTGAAATGCACAATGGTTCCTCAGATATACCAACAACACAAGCAAGCAAAGAAAAACAAATCAACTGGACTACATAAAAATGAAAAGTTTTTGTGCTACAAAGGTCACCAGCAAAAAAGTAAATAGCAAGTCACAGAATAGGAGAAAACATTTGGAGATCCTTCACTTGACAAGGGCCTAGTATTTAGAATATATAAACAGCTCTTACAACTCAGCAATAATAACAACTCAATTTTAAAATAAGCAGAGAATATAAACACACATTTCTCCAAAGACAAATGCAACAAGCAAATGAAAAGACAACATCATTAGTGATTAGTGAAATGCATATCGAAATCAAGATGAGAGCCCAACTCACACCCACTAGAACTGCAATAATCACAAAGAAAGTAACAAGGTTCACATGTATCAGCAAGGAAGTGAGGATACTGGAACACTCAGATGCTGACGATGAAAATATAAAATGGTGCAACCATTCTAGAAAACACTTTGACAGTTCCTCAAAATACTAAAGAAGTTACCTCAAGACCCAGCCATCTCACATGTAGGTACATATCCAAGAGAATTAAAAACACACACCCACACAGAAATTCATATATAGATATTCATAGCATCATTATTCATAATAGCCCATAGGTGGAAACAACCAAAAATGTACATCAGCTGAGGAATGCATTAATAACATGTGATATTTCCATACAGTGGGATATTATTCTGTTATAAAAAGGAATCAAAGAGGCTGGCGCTGTGGCATAATATGCTAAGCCTCCTCTGCCTGTGGCGCTGGCATCCCATGTGGGTGCCAGTTCATGTCCTAGCTGCTCCTCTTCCTATCCAGCTATCTGCTTATGGCTTGGGAAAGCAGCAGAAGATGGCCCAAGTCCTTGGGCCCCTGCATTCACATGGAAGACCCGGAAGAAGGTCCTGATTCCTGGCTTCGGATCAGGCTAGCCCTGGCTGTTGCAGCTATCTGGGGAGTGAACCAGCAGATGGAAGACCTTTGTCTGTCTGTAACCCTGCCTCTCAAATAAATAAAACCTTTTTTAATTTTTTAATTTTTAAAATTTTTATTTATTTGACAGAGTTAGACAGTGAGAGAGAGAGAGAGACAAAGAGAAAGGTGTTCCTTCCTTCCTTCCTTCCCCAAAATGGCTGCTACAGCTGGGGCTACGCCGATCCGAAGCCAGGAGCCAGGTGCTTCTTCCTGGTCTCCCACGCGGGTGCAGGCGCCCAAGTACTTGGGCCATCTTCTACTGCCTTCCCGGGCCACAGCAGAGAGCTGGACTGGAAGAGAAGCTGTAACTCTTTCAAATAAATAAAATCAATCTTTAAAAAAAAAATGATCAAGTAATAAACAGCAACATAATTAAGGAACGAACCAGATATTGCTTTTCTGACTCAAAATTTTCTGAACATGTGCTATGTTCCAGGCCTATGCTTATTGCTAGAAGCCCAAAGATGTGTAAAACACAGTATTTACACTTTCTTCAGGCTTCTTCTTAGCCTACTAATGTCATTTTTCTCAAGAGTGGGGCCGCTCTGTGAAATGCAAAAACAGCAAGACTGAGCTGCAGACAGCCCAGCAGAATGCAGACGTTCACATCATCCACGTCTCCGTCACCTGGAGGTGTTCAAGGCTTCACTGAACAGAGGGAGAGAAAAGACTTGCTTCTAACATCAGGGGTTCCGTAACTCATTATTCCCCAGTGCTCTCATTTTCCAAGAAGCACACTTCAAACAGTTTCATCTCATTTATGTGAAACTCTGCTTAAACACTGCTTCTGATAAACGTAGCACTCAGTGGCTCCTGGACTCCCCATTTTAAAGAATTCATCATCAACACAAACACCCCAGAAGAAAATGCTTTTTAATCCTTTATTACCATAACCATATACAAACTCTTCTTTAACCAGAACAAGAGTCTGCTAACTAACAAAGTGCAGGTATCTGCATCAACACCCAGATTTTTATGAATCAGGAAAAATCTGGTATCCTGATAGCTGCACTACACAGAAGCATAACTAATAAAAACAAAATAATATTTCAACAGAAATCTGGGTCAAACAGTACTTTAAACAAAAAGAGGCGTGTTCTACTTATTTCAGGACATTAATTATTTCTGATTCCTCTAACATGTTATTTATATTAAAATCCCAAAAGGTAAAACTAAAGTCTACATTATTATTACCTTATCTTTGGCCTCAGGTAGTGTGATTTCTCTAGGTTCTAAAAATGGTATTTCTCGAAAAGGTGGAACACATCTGACTACATCTGGTACAAAGTGTGCATGAAACAATGGCGGCACTGAGTATCTTCGTTCACCTGATAAAGGCACTATCTGGTTTACTATGGTTGGCTCTTGGTGGGGTGAATGGAAACGCTGCCGTTTACCGTCAAGAGGAAGGTTTTTTTCATCGCTTAATCTCCTGGAAACAAACAACATATTTTAGTAATTAAGAATATAAACTTCTAATAACAAATTGAAAAAAGTGAAATACATAATTATATCATGATAATTCTATGACTCTTTTAGGAAAGCCACATTATTCACTCTTAAAAAATCTTCATTTTCAGCACAAGAAATGCCTCTTCATACCTGAGAAAAAGTGAATAGTAATAACGTATCTAGAAAAACAAACTATACATATACCTGCAACTGGGTCTCCCACACTGGATCTACCCCGACGCTTCAACTCAGCAGTGAAAACTTTGGAGAAAAATGTCTGTTTAAAGAATTACTAAGGGGGCCAGCACCATGGTGCAGTGGGTTAAAGCCCTGGCCTGAAGCGCCGGCATCCCATAGGGGCACCAGTTCTAGTCCCAGCTGCTCCTCTTCCCATCCAGCTTTCTGCTATGGCCTGGGAAAGCAGTAGAGGATGGCCCAAGGCCTTGGGCCCCTGCACCCTCATGGGAGACCCAGAAGAAGCTCCTGGCTTCTGGCTTCGGATCGGCGCAGCTCCCACCGTTACAGCCATGTGGGGAATGAACCAGCAGATGGAAGACCTCTCTCTCTGTCTCTACCTCTTTTCTGTAACTTTTTCAAATAAATAAAATCTTTTAAAAAATAACAAAACAAAACAAAAATCACTAACAAAAGATACAAATTCTAAGAAAAGGAACAGGAGATTAAATGAGCTAAGTATTATACATTAAAAAACATCCTTGGATGGGGCCGGCACTGTGGCTCAGCAGGTTAATGCCCTGGCCTGAAACGCCGGCATCCCATAAGAGCACTGGTTTGAGACCCAGCTGTTCCACTTCCAATCCAGCTTCTGCTATGGCCTGGGAAAGCAGAAGATGGCCCAAGCCCTTGAACCCCTGCACCCGGATGGGAGACTCAGAGGAAGCTCCTGGCTCCTGGCTTCGGATCAGTGCAGCTCTGGCAGTTGCGGTCAATTAGGGAGTGAACCATCGGATAGAAGATTTCTCTCTCTCTGCCTCTCCTCTCTCTGTGTAACTCTAACTTTCAAATAAATAAATAAATCTTTTTAAAAAAATCATTTTTAGAGCCGGCGCTGTGGCATAGTGGGTAAAGCCGCAGTGCCAGCATCCCATATAGGCGCGGGTTTGGGTCCCAGCTACCCCACTTCCAATCCAGCTCTCTGCTGTGGCCGGGGAAAGCAGTGGGAGATGGCCCAAATCCTTTGGCCGCTGCACCAGCTTGGGAGACCTAGAGGAAGCTCCTGGCTCCTGGAATACGACTGGCACAGCTCTGGCCACTGCAGCCAATTTGGGAGTGAACCAGCAGATGGAAGACCTCTCTCTCTCTCTGCCTCTCCTCTCTCTGTGTAACTCTGACTCTCAAATAAATAAATAAATATTAAAAACAACAACAACCACCATTCTTCAAATACACCTGTGTTCTGGCTAACCCCAGGAAAGACAACATCACATGCCTTCCCAAAAAGCTATAAAGACATTGGACAACTAAAGAAATGTGAAACTGAACTGAACTTCAGATTATAGCAGCTGTTTTTAATTCTTGGGCACGATCAATGTATCCTGGGAATATGGGAGAACATCCAGGGTTTTAGGAGGAATAAGCTGACGTTCTGGGATTAAGTAAAATGTCAACAATTCCTACATGGTTCAGAGAAAAAAAAATCCACTAGAGTAAAAACAAAAAGAGACACAGAAATAATAAAATATGGCAATATTTAATTGAATACTCCAGGTAAAAGCCATGAAGATATTCATTGTATTACTCTAAGTTTTGGAAGAAATTTAACAATTTTCAAAATAAAAAGAGGAAAAATAACTAAAAAGCAAATATATGTTGGGAAAAATTATTTACATGACATTAAGCTTTTCATGCAGGTAAGATTTTATGCCATAAAAAATGGTCCAATGCCTTGTAAGCTCTAAATGCTACAGATCAGAACCACCTGATGTTTTTATCATAATACTACTGTGGGATTATGTCAATTCCTATCTCCTTGATAGATTTACAGTATACAGTGTTAAACACATAGGAGGTTTTTTTTTATTTATTTATTTTTTTATTTTATTTTTTTGACAGGCAGAGTGGACAGTGAGAGAGAGAGACAGAGAGAAAGGTCTTCCTTTGCCGTTGGTTCACCCTCCAATGGCCGCCGCGGCCGGCACACTGCGGCCGGCGCACCGCGCTGATCCGATGGCAGGAGCCAGGAGCCAGGTGCTTCTCCTGGTCTCCCATGGGGTGCAGGGCCCAAGCACCTGGGCCATCCTCCACTGCACTCCCGGGCCACAGCAGAGGGCTGGCCTGGAAGAGGGGCAACCGGGACAGAACCCGGCGCCCCAACCGGGACTAGAACCTGGTGTGCCGGCGCCGCTAGGCGGAGGATTAGCCTATTGAGCCGCGGCGCCGGCCCTTTTTTTTTTATTTTCTAAAATGCATTTATTTATTTGAGAGGCAGAGACAGAGGGAGCAAGAGACAGCTTCGATCCACCAGTTCACTCCCCAGATGCCCACAACGGCCAGGAGCCAGGTCAAACCAGGAGCTGAGAACTTAGCACAGATCTCCCACATGGGTGGCAGGAACCATCACCACTGCCAACCAGAGTGCACACTGGTAGGACTATGGAGTGAGGAAGTGGAGTCAAGAAGTGGACCCAGGCATTATGATATGGGACACGGCATCTCACCTGTGGACCCAGGCATTATGATATGGGACACGGCATCTCACCTGGTACCTGAACCATCCCATGCGTACTGTTTTTAAATATAAAAATAATTTAGTTATATATGCCACATATCTTCCATTCAGAATGCCAACTTTAGTTTTAGAAACATGTGTAACTGGGGCAGGTGCTGTGGTGTAGTGGGATAAGTCGCCACATATCACACTCGCATCCCAGTTCGAGTCCCAGCGGCTCCACTTCCAATCCAGTTCCCCACTAATGTGCCTGGGAAAAAAGCAGCGGGAGATGGCCCAACTACTTGGGCCCCCGCACCCAAGTGGGAGACCCAGAAAAAGTTCCAAGCTTCAGACCGGCCCAGCTCCAGCTGTTACGCCCATTTGAGGAGTAAACCAAAGGACAGAAGATTTCTCTCTCTCTCTCTCTCTCTCTCTCTCTCTCTGTGTAACTCTGCTTTTCAAATAAAGAAAATAAAACTTTTTAAAAAATGTATAATTACAAATAATGGAACTTATTTTCAACCATGATTCAGAAATCAGCCATCAGGGAAATTTCTAATAAACGAAAATCAGAACACAGTCAACACCGTGCGAATCCTTACACAACCGTCCCGACAACCCTAAAGGACGATTTCTGCGCACAGGCGTGAGGTTCAGGAGACCACTAGATGTCAAATCCCTGCTGTCACTGCTACCCTGTGTGCTTCTCCTCAAGAGGGATACCAGCACCTGCCTAGGAGACATCAACAAACACTCCTTATAAAGTCCTTAGAACAATGCTTACTACACAGTGAGTGACTCATTATTCTCTGCTTGCATTATTACAGGTTTGTTTTTTTTTTTGTTTTTGTTTTTTGTTTTTTTTTTGACAGGCAGAGTGGACAGTGAGAGAGAGACAGAGAGAAAGGTCTTCCTTTGCCGTTGGTTCACCCTCCAATGGCCGCCGCGGCTGGCGCGCTGCGGCCGGCCCACCGCGCCGATTCGATGGCAGGAGCCAGGTGCTTCTCCTGGTCTCCCATGGGGTGCAGGGCCCAAGCACTTGGGCCATCCTCCACTGCACTCCCTGGCCACAGCAGAGAGCTGGCCTGGAAGACGGGCAACCGGGACAGAATCCGACGCCCCGACCGGGACTAGAACCCGGTGTGCCAGCGCCGCAAGGCGGAGGATTAGCCTAGTGAGCCGCGGCGCCAGCCCAGGTTTTAAAGTTATAGCAACATTTCGCTATGTATTGTCAAATGTTATTTTAATAGCATTCCTTAAATTCTATTATAATTATTTCATGATATATGAATTTTTTCACTGAATAGGTAAGTGAAAATAAATTGGCTCCTCATTTGATTGCATAAAGCCTTATGTCTATGTAGAAATTTTTACTCTACTAATATCTGGTATCATGGATATATACATCATACTGCCTGTATAAGATTTAAATAAATCAAAAGAAAAACATACAGTAAATTAACCAGAAAGAGTTATGAGTGGCCAGCACTGTGGTGTAGCAGATTAAGCTGCTGTCCGTGACACCGGCATCCCATGTGGGCACCGGGTTCGTGTCCCAGCTATTCCACTTCTGATGCAGCTCCCTGTGAATGGCCTGGGAAAAGCAGAAGATGGCCCAAGTGTTTGGGCCCCTGCCACCCATGTGGGAGACTCAGAACAAGCTCCTGGCTCCTGCCTTCAGCCTGGCACAGCTTTGGCTGTTGCAGCCATCTGAGGAGTGAACCAGCAGATGGAAGATTTCTCTCCTCCTCTCTCTCTGTCTCTCCCTCTCTCTTTTAACTCTTTCACAGAAGTAAATAAATCTTTCTCAGAATGTGTATTCAGGGACAAGGCCTTTGCAGCAGTAATTAAGTTAAACTGCAGTCTTTAGGATGGGTCCTAATCCAGTACGACTGGTGCCCTCAGAGGAGATGCACAGAAAACAAAGACAGGGACAACCACGTGAGAACATGGTAGGAAGAAGGTAGCCACCTACAAGCCAAGGAGAGAGGCTTCAAATGAAACCAGTCCAGTTCACACCTTGATCTTGAACTTCCAGCCTCCAGAACTAAGAGATTAAATAACAACTCAGTTATTTAACGCCCCTAGTCTGGGGTACTTTATTATAACCATGTGATGATTTAGTCAGAAATCTTGACCAGAAAATAGCTTGTTGAAGAAATATAGCTTCATTCCATCTGAAACTTATAATCATTTCAATAATTAAATCAACAAAAGAATCCCTAAAATTGATAAAGCACATAAGAGTTTTAGAATTTTGTGGCTGGTGAGATAATACGATCCTAGAAAACAAAGTTTAGAACATATTGCCTATAAATTTTAATGTAAGATGCCCTGTTATACAGTTCTCCAAACTGCATCATTTTCTCCTAAAGTAATTAAGTGAAAAGTACTTACTTCCTTCCTCGAAATAATGGAGAAGCTGAGGTCTGTATTGGACTGACATTTCCATATGGAAGCTGCTGTAATGACACGGCCCTAGACAGGCTACCAAAAACAAAAACAAAAAAGAACAGCAGTAGTCTGTATATTTTTTTTCTGAAAAACAAACTTCAGAGAAACTAAATACTTCACTAATTAAAAGAACACAAGAAATGACAACACCTTCTCTACCTTCAAACATTTCATACAAAAAAAGCTCCACGTGCAACAGAAAATGAAATTTATAAACAAGACGAGTGAAAACAACACCATACTTACTCTGCATTCTGAAAGTTGAATTGTGCATCTATGAACTGCTGGTGTGAGTAAAGACTTGGAGACAGGGTGAAGAAGTTACTATGCTGCTGATGGCTTGGAGTGAAGGGCGGGCGACCCAAGATTGAATTTGGGAACATACTCTTGTTCACCGTAAGTGAACATGTATTCTTCTGCCTAAAAAAAAAAATTTTTTTTAAAACAGTACTAAATTATTATAGTCAAGATACTGAACTCTTCAGTAGCTAATTATTTAAAATAACTGGTTACCAAGTTATAAATTTCATTTGCAAAATATTTTTAATTTTTATTTATTTATTTGACAGGTAGAATTACAGACAGTGAGAGAGAGAAAAAGAGAGAGAGAGATAGAGAGAGAGAAAGGTCTCCCTTCCATTGGTTCACTCCCCAAATGGCCGCAATGGCCGGAGCTGCGCCGATCCAAAGCCAGGAGCCAGGTGCTTCTTCCTGGTCTCCCACGCAGATACAGGGGCCCAAGCACCTGGGCCATCCTCCACTGCCTTCCCGGGCCACAGCAGAGAGCTGGACTGGAAGAGGAGCAACCGGGACTAGAACCCGGCGCCCATATGGGATGCAGGCGCCGCAGGTGGAGGATTAGTCTAGTGAGCCACAGCACCAGCCTCTGCAAAGTTATTTTTTGAAATTTAAACAAATCTATTAAGTTCCACTGTAACAAACAAAAAAAAATTATGATTTTAAATCTCAATTAACTATAGTACTCAAGTACAGCAAAACATATGTTTGTTTCTAATTTTATGATGAATTTACTTAACAAGTTTACCCCAACATCAATAAAGCTTTTAGAGAATCAAGTTATCATACTCTGGGATTAAAAGGAAGCCATTCAAGAGACACACTAAATGAAATCTCACAAATTCTTACATTTATTCTCAATCCAATTTATAAAAATGTATATGGGGCCAGTGCTGTGGCATAGCAGGTGGAGCTGCCGCCTGCAGTGCTGGCATTCCATATGAGCGCTGGTTGAGGTCCCGCTGCTCCACTTCCGATCCAGCTCTCTGCTGTGGCCTGGGAAAGCAGTGGAGGATGGCCCAAGTCCTTGGGCCCCTGAACCGACACCTGCGTGGGAGAGCAGGAAGAAGCTCCTGGCTTCCGGCTTCAGAGTGGCACAGCTTGGGCCACTGCGGCCAGCTGGGGGTGAGCCAGCAGATGGAAGACCTATCTCTCTCTCTCTGCCTCTAACTCTGCCTTTCAAATAAATAAATGAATCTTTTAAAAAATGTATAAGCCAGCCTGATTACTAGGATTTGGATCTTATAGATTTGAACAAAAAGAAAGGTAATTTCTTTTATCTAATTTAAAACTGAGATTCCTCTCAGTTTGCATAATGCACACAAAAGGCTTCTAATAAAAGATGGCTTTGTTCCACAAGAATGAAGAAAACCATCAAAGCAACTAGAACACATCACTGGGGGGTGGCATTAAAGATGCTAGCATCACCTGCATCCCAAATGGGAGCAGCTGCTTAGCTTCCAATTCAAATCCCTACTAAAGCGCCTGGAAAGGCAGTGAAAGACAGTCGCGCACTTGGGGCCCTGCCACCCATGCAGGACTCCTGGCTCCTAGCTTTGGCCTGGCCCGTTAGAAAACTCTTGTCTACAAAAATCAGAAACTATGCAGCAAAATAACCACAGAGTCTATGACACAGTTAATAGTCCATCAAGGAAAAGTCACGCCAGCTACTTATCAGCCTATAAGGAAGCCAACTAGTTGACAGACCCCACTACACATTTGGAGGCTTACAATTCCAGCACCCTTCACTTAAAATAGTTATCTCTAGGGCCAGTGCTGTGGCCAGCAGGTCAAACCATGGCCTAGAGCACCAGTGTCCCAGATGAGTCCCAGTTCGAATCCTGGCGGCTCCACTTCCAATCCAGCTCCCTGCTAATGTGCCTGGGAAAGCAGAAGATGGCCCAATTCCCTGGGCCTCTGTACCCACACAGGACACCTGGAAGAAGCGCCTTGCTCCTGGCTTCAGGATCCATTTGGGGAGTGAACCAGCAGCTGGAAGATCCCTCTCTTTGTAACTCTGCCTTTCAAATGAAAAAAAAAAAATCTTTAAAAAAAATAGATACCCATGATTCACAAGATTTTTTTTTAAATATATATTTATTTGAAAGGTAGAGTTACAGAGAGGCAGAGGGAGGGAGGGAGGGAGGGAGAGAGAGAGAGAGGGGTCTTCTACCCACTGACTCACTCCCCAAATGGCAACAGCAGCCAGAGCTGTGCCAATCCAAAGCCAGGAACCTGGAGGTTCTTCCTGGTCTCTCACTTGGGTGCAGGAGCCTAAAGACTTGGGCCATCTACCACTGCTTTCCCAGGCCATAGCAGAGAGCTGGATCAGAAGTGGAGCAGCCAGGACTTGAACCGGCGCCCATATGGGATGCAGGAACTGCAGGCAGCGGCTTTACCAGCTAGGCCTCAGCGCCAGCCTCCACAAGATTTTTTAAAAGACCTGAGAATAAATGGAAACAATATCAGGAAAAAATTAACACATCAAGAAACAGGGTCTCTAATTGATGAAAGGATATTATATTTAAAAAACAAGAATAGGTTATTTTAAAAAGAGAGGCAGGAAGGCATTTGGCCTAGCAGTTAAGAGTCTCTGGCTCCCAATTCCAGCTTCCTGCCAATGAAGACTATAGAAAGGCCACAGGTGATGGTTCAAGTGGTTGGGCTCCTTCTACCCATGGAGAGATCTGAATTTAGTTCCCAGCTCCTGGCTGGGCCTGTCCTGGCTAGTGTGGGCACTTGGAGAATGAACCAAATGATGGGAGCTCTTTTTGCCTCTGCTTCTCTCCCTTTCAAATAACTTGTTTTAATTTCATTAAAATAGGGGCCAGCGTTGTGGCGCAGTGGGTTAATGCCCTGGCCTGAAGCACAGGCGTCCCATATGGGCGTCGGTTCGAGACCCGGCTGCTCCACTTCCTGTCCAGCTTTCTGCTGTGGCCTGGGAAAGCAGTAGAGGATGGCCCAACTCCTTGGGCCCTCACACCCACGTGGGAGATGGGGAAGAAGCTCCTGCCTTCGGATCGGCACAGCTCTGGCCGTTGCGGCCATCTGGGGAGTGAACTATCAGATGGAAGACCTCTCTCTCTTTCTCTCTGCCTCTCCTCTCTCAGTGTAACTCTGACTTTCAAATAAATAAATAAACCTTTAAAAAAAAATAAAATGAGCTCTTGAAAACTAAAAATTAAAAGCAGAACTATCTAGTAGAAAGTTTAAAGATAATGCTGAAATTTATTAGAAAGAAGAAAAGGAAAAAAATACTGGGAGCCAAATAGGCAGAGCAACAAGAAAAAAAAGTAAAAGAGAACCAAATTATGTGACTCAATATCAAACAGTGCACCAGAAGATCCAGCAATAACAAAGAAAATACACAGAAATTAAATTAAATTAAACAAGAAAATGTCCAGGTTTGACAGACATCAAACCTTAGACTGAAAAGACCAAACAAGGACAAAACTTCAAAACTTAGTTTAAAAAAAAACAACTCATATTTTGGTGAAATAAAGAATACCATGAAAAGCAAACTTATAAAATATTCCAGAGAAGAGAAAAGTGGTACAAATGGAGTTAGGAATCAGAATGTGGGGCGGTGGATTAAGCCTCTGTGATGACGCTGGCATCCCTTAATGGAGAGCCAGTTGAAGTCCTGGCTTCTCTGTTTCTGATCCAGCTCCCGGGAGTACACCTGGGAGAGAAAGTGGATGATGATGCAAGTACGTGGGGCCTTGCCGCCCACAGGGGAGATCCAGATGCAGTTCCCGGCTCACTGCTTCAGCCTGGCCCAGCCTTGGCTGGAGGGGGCATTTGGGGACTGAACCAGCAGGTAGAAGATTTTTCTTTGTCTCTCCCTCTTTCTTTGTCAATCTGCCTTTCAAGTAAGTAAATAATTTTTAAAGAGCTTAAACAGCTCACTTTTTAAATTTATACTTAGTGAAAATGAAGATTCAGCTGTTTTCATACCATTTCTTAACCTGTACATACATACACAAAAGTTGTAATATGTGTATTTATATAATACATATAAGGAAATGCAGTATGCACTAAATTATAAAAACTATCACATCAGATCTCATTCAAACCACTGGCTTTGATTCAGATCACAGACAACATATTACCACCAGTAATCAAGAGTTCTTCAGTCTACTTTAGCAAGCCTTTACCTATCATTATAAGAGAATGTAAAAAAGAAAACTAGGGATTGAATTAAGATGGTCAAGTAGGGAGGGAGCTTACCACTCTAGTCTAGGAAAAGGTAGTTTTAAAAAGTAGAGCCCATGCAGTCTCAGGGAAGAGTTAGGAAGAAAATGACAAAGGAAAACTCCACTCCAATCAGAGGGACACAGCAGACCCACGTGGAGGGTGTGCGCACACACAAATCAGGACGCCAACAGCCAAGAGCCTCTGCACCAGTGTTAGAGAGTGAGGTGAGACCAGACTGCAGCAGCCTAAGCCACCGGTGATGAAAGCTGCAGGAAAAGCCTGGACAGAATCTGCCTTGGAGCCCTGTGGGGGACAGTATACCTGCAAAACTAGAGGAGGAAAAAAGGGAGGAGGACGTTTCTCTCTCCCTGATCACCCCGCAACGACATCTTGTAACAAGCCCATACAGAGCAGGTGCCATTTTGGACAAACCTAACAGCTGTGCCAGCTTGTGTCTGTGCCCAGCAACCAGCTGAGTCTGGTGCGGAGAACTGACGGGGGGCTTGTCTGCCAGGGCTTTCAAAACCCAGAGGTTGTGTGGGGAGGCTCAGGAAGTGGCTGGGACTTTGGGCAGTCACTGTGGGAGGCTCCACACCCTCAGGGCTCCCTGTTCCTGGGGAGGGACACTGCTGGGGAGTCTGCCTACACCAAGGACTGCACGGATCCTTTGTGTGGTCCCTGTGGAAGTGAGGATGAAGATTATACCCACTGGGGCTAGCGCCCAGGCATTGGTCTCCTTTGAGGAGAGGAAATGAGCTGAGTCTATGCCAACAGAAGAAAAACCTCCAATCTGATTTAAAAAAAGAAAAAAGAATAAAAAAAAAGAGGAGATTTGCCATGCCCAACCTGGTGTCACCTTAACACTCCCTTCACTATGGAGCACTGAATACAGAGCTCCCTGGCCACACCCACCACACCAGGTATTC